GCTATGAGTCAGAATCCACTCTAAGAGCACATAACACCACCACCACCACTGTTAGTTTCAACTTAACTAACAGTAAAGAAAGAGGTCAAGAGAAAAGAAGAAACTATGAACAGGTCCAAATTGTGGATTGGAACAATCCCAAGACTGACCTAATTAATAAAAAGAAATAATTATTCTCAACTTTAAGCTAGTCAATTGGCACTAACACACAAAGCGCAGCTATTATGCCTCTAGGACAAGAGTTTCTCAATCTTGGTACTCAAAACATTTTGGGCCAGACAATTCTTGGTTGTAAGGGAATGTCCTGTGGAGGTTCAGCAGCATCCCTGGCCTCTACTCACTAGATACCAGTAGTGCAAACACCCCCCCCTACACACAGCTGTGACAATCCGAAATGTCTCCAGTGTCAAAACCACCCCCAGTTAAAAATCACCACTCCAGGAGAAATACTGCATGATGAGTGAAAGCCTGAGATATCTAGGAGACAGGTGATAATCAAACGACAGAACACAACGAGGGCCAAAATAAGATGTACACATAGAGGGGCACACAGAAAGTTCTCTCAGCACAGTGTTCTTCGCTTCCTACCCGATTCTGCCAGCATCTTCACAGCCTTGGCCTTGGCCAGTTCTAGGGCTGTCACCCAGCGCTGCCTCTCTACTTCCGAGCTAGCCTTCAGGTGGTAGGTCTGAGCACCCCCATTGGAAATGATGAAGTTGCAGGAGTCCTCCACAGTGATGTTGGCTGTGGCGAGGTTGATGGTACCACGGCAGGTGTGCCTCATTTCTGCCTTTGACCTGCGATAGCAAGACAAAGACAAGCTAAGTAGAAAGCTGACGGTGGTTTATCTTTCATCACATTCCATTTCTTTTCATAACTCTAAGCCCTTTGAAAACACAGCAGTGTTTGGAACCAGCAAGTTCTAGTCATATTTCCATGAAATGGCTCCCTAAAATTCAAGAAACAACTGGTAGGGATTTCCTTTCCTGTTTCTGAGTTGGATGTTATTGCCCTGCTGTTCCTCTAACCATTACCCTTATAAAATAGGCTTTATTGAGGTACAATGATACACAATGTTAGTTCGCCAATTTTGAATGTGGAATTCAATGATTTTAGACAAATACATACAATTGTGTAACCACTGCCACAATTATGGTGTAGAACATTTCCATCACTCCAAAAAGATTCCCTGTTCCCCTTTGCAGGCAGGAATTACTTTTTTATTTAGCAAGTTATGATTACAAAGAGCTTTACAAACTCATACAACCAATTTTGAATAAAAGCCTCATTCCCTAAGAGAAAGAACAGCTCCACTTTACATATATTGAACCATTCTCCCACTATAACTAAGCCTGGATGAGAAGTGTCCCACCATGCTTAGAATTATATTGCAGAAGTGTAAGAAAGCACACTTAGACATTCAGAAGCACATTTCGATGTTCAGAGTATTAAATATTGGCTATGGTTCAAATTCTATATAAATAGGAATAACTAGGAATACTTTCGAGGGAGTAAACAAAGAATAATCATAAGAATCACCAGGTGTTATAATCTTGCTGGAATACATTCTTTCCTAAGGTCCACTGACCTCTATTGGTGGGAACTCCTAAGCTATCCTATTAATAGCTAGCCGAGATTCAGCAGGCCTGTACTCAGAGGACCGGGTGTAAAAATGTTCTCGATCTCTACTGACTGACAGTTCTATTAATAGACTAACTTTTGAACTTTAATGCACTACTTGGTGGCAACAAGCTGTAAGTCACTTCGCATAAAACGTCAAGCTTTTAGCACAATTGAGTGCTTTTAGGTACAATGTAAACTGATTTCCCCATTAACCGCTAGTTA